CAGAGATTGCTCTTCGGGACAAGCGGGGACGGGGGCGCCCGGTCCGTCCGCCTTTATGCCAGCCGCGTGGAAAATAAGGCGGGGGGGGCGGGCATGAATGTCGGCCTTCTTCGTTCTGGCCACGCTCGGGATCCTGGGCGCCCCGCTGGGAAAGCAGCTGTCGCTTTCAAGGAGATAAAAAGTGCTTCCACAAAGCTAAACGGAGACTTTTAGAAGTTTCTCTAATACGGGGTCTTACGTGTGTTATAACTATACATAGCTAAGGATATGTTGAGAAACTAACCTCCGTGACATTTTAGATCCTATGTTTACTTACTTGTATTCTACTATTGTATTTTACTCCTCTATCCAATTACGTCTTTCACTTTTCATTAGGATGTAAAAAGTCTGAAAATGCAGATGCGGGAGTTAATTGCAGAAAAAAATGAAGCTTTCTTCCTTTTCCTCCAACATATTGCAGGCCGCTGGATCTGCCTGTGGAAGCTCACTCGGCTGCCGCTGAAAGGAGGTTTGAGCTGCAGGGCCACAGATTTGAAGCTGCTCCAGAGCAGCTGCGGCAGCCGCGCCTGGTCCGAGTGGGGCTGATCCAGAACAAGATTCCTCTGGCCACCGACGCGCCGGTCACCGAACAGGTACGAGCTGCAGGGCTTGTCGAGGCGATAGCTGCAGCCTCGGTATTCACTACCAATCTGTGGGGGCCTTGGACAGCTGGAACGAAAAAGAGGAGCCTTTACGTTTTGGCAGTTGGAAACACCGGTGGCTTGATGGGGACTGGGGTGCAAACGGAGGTGTGGTGCCTGATGTGGGAGAAGGAAGCTCCTCCTGCTCGCTCTGCAAGTTCAGGAGGGGGCGATGAGATGGTGGGGCAGCCTGAGGTTTGAGGTTAGGGTTAGGGTTAGGGCTGGGACTTGGGCAGATCCTCTGATACAGTCCACAAAAGATACCTCCTTCCTGACAAGATCACAAGCCTTTGCAGCCTCCCACTGTTGTAAGTCAAGTACAGTGGTACCTTGGTTCACGAACTTAATTCGTTCCACGACTCTGGTCGCAACCCGAACTGGTCGTGACCCGAATCAAATTTTCCCATAAGGTTCAATGTAATTACGGTTAATC